GGCGGGCCGACTAAGGCTTTTGCGTCTAGGGCGAAAAGTGCAGCGGGTCGAAATATCCTACAGAGCTGATGATATCGGCCCGCCGCACTAAGGGTTAGAGAAGCGTGTTCAGGGACACGGGGCACGGCTGCCCCGTCACCGCAGGGCCCGAGCCACCTCCCATCACCCCGGAACGCTCTGGCGTCTCCCCGAGTCCAGGGTGGCAGGGACGTGGCTGCTCCTGCTCCTCGGGTCTGGCGCGTTGCTGGCCTGTCTGTGCCGTTTCTTTCAGAATTAATTTTGGGCTGAAAAAGCCTCAAAGAAGGCTTTGTTCCTCTGACACTTGCTCTGGGAGAAAAAAAAAAATCCCGTGGAAAATCTGACATCTGCAACGTGGGGAGGAATCGCTAGATGGGAGGAATATAATTATCCTCCGCTCCTGCAAGAATGTTTCAGATTTTTAAGTGTCTCATATCAGCTTAGGATTTGAATGACATTTTAATTATTTTGTTTTTTTCTTCCTCTCCTGGTTTGAGTCTCCAAAGAGTCCCGCGCCCGGGCTCTGAGCCGCGCGGTGCTCCCAGGCACGTGGGCGCTGGTGGCCCTGCGCAGTGGGGCGGCGCGTTTCCGCGGCCAGGCTCCGCGCTGGTCAGTGGCCTGGTCACGGACACGCCTGAGTTCTGGAGCTCTGTTTTCACGCAAACGCCAACGAGCAGCGCGGGAGCACCAGCCGACGCCGCCTCTCTGGACTCTTGTGAGCTGAGCAAGCCCCGTTTCCAGGGGATGTGACTCACAGTTTTCAAATCAGCTCAGCCTTCAAATCTCCACGCGGTAGCGCACGTGGGTGCCCACCACACAGCTACACTCCCAGGTGCCATGACACCAGGCTCGCGGCCCAGTGGCCCAGGCTGCAGGTGTCTGGCGGCTACGGCCCTCTCGGCTTTCACACCCTCACAGTCCCCGCCCCACCCTGTGGGCTGCACGTCTCGCGCACGTCTGGGGCTGGATACTCACTGCCACCACCCGCCCAGCCCTGCCCAGGTCACTCTGCCGGCCGCTGCACAGGCCCTGCCTTTGCCGATCGCACGGTGGCCAGAGACCCAGAGACCCGCACGCAGCCCTGTCCCCACTACGCCCTCTGCCAGCTGGGCTGTGCCCCTGGTGATCCGCCAAGCCCTGGTCTCGCGTGCTGGGAGCTGCTCTGCAGACGTGATTGAAGTCTGCCTGCAGTGGACTGCAGGGAGGGCTGTGCTGGACGGCCTGGGGCAGCAGGGACAGCCTGAGGGCAGGCCGGGCTCCTGGAGGGGAAGAAATCCCACCCTGACGGCCTCCCTGCTCCACCGCACCACTCCCTACCCTTCCTTCCTGTGGGCACCCGGCCTCCCAGGGCTGCCCTGCTGTGGACTGACGTCTGAGCCCAGGGTGACAGTGTCGGGGGGTGGGCCAGAGGTGGGTGGGTGGGTAGTTGGATGGGTGGTTGGATGGGTGTGAGATGGATGAGTAAGTAGGTGGTTGGGTGGGTGGAGGGTTGGGTAGATGGTTGGATGAGTGGAAGGGTGGATGGGTCAATGGGTGGGTGGGTGGGTGAGTAGTTGGATGGGTGGGTGGGCGGTTGGATGGGTGTGAGATGGATGAGTAAGTAGGTGGTTGGGTAGATGGTTGGATGAGTGGAAGGGTGGATGGGTCAATGGTTAGGTGGATGAAGGTAGCGGGACTTGACTGGAATAGGTGAAGCTGCAGAAATCACCATCTAAGGAGAAGGCTGGGCCTATTTCTCCATCCGTGCAGTTTCTTACCTTCCAACTCAGCTAGGGAGCACGAGACAGAAACTGGAACTGAGTCTCCGTGTCGCGAGTAGTGGCTTAGCCCTGGTAGGGGACGGTTTCTCACTTGTCGGAGGTTGGCGTGCCCAGGAGAGCCCAGGCAGGCGCAGGAGCAACCTCCTTCCTGGCGCTCGCTCGAGGCTGAGGCAGCCACAGGGCCGACAGCTCACGGAGCCCCCACGGTGGCCTTGCCCGTGTCTCCTGCTGGCGCCCACGTGCTCACCTCGGGACGCAGGGCGGCACGGTGGCTCACGGGGACATGCTGCAGGCCTGAGCCTGGGGCTCCTCATGTGCTGCAGAGGGTGGCGGCCACGGCTCGTACGTGGACAAGTCTCTCTCCAGCCCACTGAGCTCCTGGCTGGTTGGTGGCGGTCGCAGTCGAGAGTTGCGCCTTTGGCGTGGTTCTTCGTGTCAGCAGAGGTGGGGTTTGTGCGCCCGGCGCCACAGGCTCATCCATGAGAAGAGCCGCATGGCCGCGGCGCCGTGGTGATGCTCGGCATCAGAAGGAAGCACAGGAAGTGTTGGCTTCATGGAAAGGAAGCCACTGTTTCTTTTTACCTGTAAGGTGTGTTTGTCAGGTTATATTCACCAAAAAGGTCTGAATGTGTTTTTGTGAAGCTGTGTCTGAATTTTACCTGTTGGAGCATTTCAGGCACCAGGTGAACCCGTTCCCCGCCGCTCCTGCCAGGCAGGTGCCCGGCCATGGACGGTTCTCTGACGCCGTTCTGTGTTGCCTCGGCAGGGCCTGATCAAGATCCGGGGGGACACGTGCTGGCGAGACCTCACCTGCATGGACTTCCACTACGAGGTGAGCTGCGCCCGCGCCTAGCGCACCTGCGCGTCCCGCTCCGGGGGGGACTCAGCCCACGCCCAGGTGAGCCGCCTCATCCACGGGTCGGGCCCCTCCCTCCTTTCTCTGGGGTGGGGCAGCCACCAGGCGGCTGCAGAGCGTCTGCCCCTGGCTGGGGGGGGAGGGGGTGTCAGGAAGCAGCGCTGGTCACCTGTGAGCTGAGTGTCTGGGATCCGCAAGTAGCTCCCCCCCCCCCCCCCCGCCGGCTCCCTCCCTCCCGCCTCTCAGGCTGGCGTGAGCAGTTCGTAGAAGTTTGTGTTGCTGTTTTGCTCCTGAGTCGGCCGCGCCAAGCTGACCTCTGATCTGGGGATATAAATCACTCTCCACTCCCGTCGTTTGCAAAGTCCCCGCAGCAGTGCATAGAAGCCGCCTTTGTGTGGCGGGGACCGAGTTTCAGGTCAGAGCTCCAAGCCCGGCGAGCATAGCCGGCGCCACCGCGGCCAGCTCCTGGCGCAGCGCAGGGGCTGGCACTGGGACGGGCAGGACCAGCACCGTGTGCGTGTGTCCTGCATGGGTGTGTGCATGTGTGTGTCCTGTGTGGGTGTGCATGTCCTGCATACGTGTGCGTGCGTGCATGCGTGCGTGTGCGTGCATGTGTGTGCGTGCGTGTGCGTGCATGCATGCATGTGTGTGCGTGCGTGCATGTGTGTGGCATACTTTAATCAAAGAAACAGTTGAAAATAAGAAGGTGGGAAAGATACAGTGTTGTGTAAGCAGTACCGAAGGGAAGCTGGTGCGGCTGTGCTAACATCAGACGAAGCAAGTTTTTCGCCCTGGTGACGGCCACGTGGCCTGGCTGTCGTTTGGGGCCCAGGGACCCTGCTGAACACCCACCCACACCCCCGGCAGGGACATCCTCTAAACTAGGTGGCTCGCACCCGGAGAAGCCCTGCCAGCCACTCACAGAGGCTCTCGGGCCACCATCGGTGCGGAGAAACCAGCAGGAGGGGAGCCGGTCCAGGCCCCCCACCCCCCACCCAGCCGCCTTCCGACAAGCGGGAGATGCTGCCGGCTGCTTTCAGCCAGCAGAGGGGCCGGAGCCCGCTGTCCTTGGGCCGTCCTGGGACCCCGGGACCCCGGGACCCCGGCCCCAGCACGAGCGGCTGTGACAGGATGAGCAGTCAGGTTTAAGAGGCCCGTTGTCACCGAGGAGGATCGGGGCGCAGATTCCCCCAGATGGTTCTGATACCAGGGAGAGTCCTGAGCCGGGTCTCCAGCAAAGGGACCACGAATGTTGCAAACGCCCGTCTGTTGCTTTGGGGAGCTGAACCCAGACCTGTCGCTACAGACTCGAGGGAGATTTAACACCACCCTTCAGTTCCGCAGCATGGAATCCTCCTTCCGTGCCAGCCTCCCGGGGTCGGGGGCCGCACCCCACACTCGGCACACTGTCTGTGAGCGCGTACCCAAGAGTCACGTTGTGGGGAACCAGGCCACGTCTGCTAGAGACAGGCGGCTCCCGCACTTCCGGATGCCCCTGGACGCGTGTCGGTGTGGCCGCCCCCACACTGGAATCGTCCCTCCCCTGCCAGCAGCTGCAGGGCGGTGCCGGGGCAGGCGGAGCAGAGGCGGGTGTGAGGCCGTTGGGGGGCTGGGGTATGGAGGACAGACCCTTGGGGCTGTCTCGGCAGAGCAGGGGCGTCCCCTGGGCTTGGCTGTCGCCCCAACACCCCTGGAGCAAGGGACCCAGTGTGTAGCCCGGAGGGTTGGGTCTCACAGGTGGCGTGGGCAGAGTGATCTGGATGCAGGGGCCACGGGACGTCTGTACCCACCCCCGGCCGGCCCCTCACCTAAAGGGGCTTGCAGAGGTGAGGGTCCCACCGCAGGACGCAGACCAGCCCTTGCTGGGCCCACCGGTTCCCAGAGCTCCGGAGCTGCCAGGGGTCCTGCGGGAGTGACTGACTCGGGCTGGGAGCTGAGTCTGGCCACCCCCAGGGGACAAGGCCCGCTGCCCAGGACAACTCGCTGCCTGGGCCTCCCCTTGCACCGCCCCCACGCCAGGCTCCTTGCTGGGCGCTGGGGCTGTTCGTGTCCCGGCACTCCCGGCGGGAGCTGCAGCATCCGAGTGTGAAGGCTCAGCCTGGCCCACGCCGTCGGTGCGTGCAGTGACCTGAGGACGGTTTGTGTCCGGGCTGATGTCACGGTGAAAACCGTGGTGTTAGCTGTGGCTGAGTGACGCCCGTGGCTGGGAGCCGGGGTTTATGTGCTCGTCCTCTGGCGGTTTTATGGACTGTAAGAAAAGAACGTTCCGCGTGTGAACTGGGCCTGGGGAACGTCAGAGGCCTCGGGAGCGTGGCCTGGGGGGTGCCCCACCTCCGCTGGTTTTGTGGGGCCCACGGACTCGGCCTGTGGTCGGCACCACCTGAGGGGGAGCCCACCGGCAGGCCACGCTGGTCAGGGCCCCAGGAGACGCGGGGCGCCCAGCCTCCCGTGGGCATGGACCTTCATGCTTCTCGCCAGGGACACCGGGGACAGGCTGTGGGCAGGTGCCCGGGCCCCCCGCTGGGCGTGGGGGTGGCCGGGGGCAGCAAGGCTCGCTCCTGCTCCTGCCCCTAAGCTGTGCGGCCCCTCCCCACGCCCACCCTGCTGTGTGCGCCCAGCAGGTTCCGTCTTCCCGGCTGGAAACTGGTAACACTCCGCCCAGGGTGGTGGCGAGGACGTGACACCGTGGCACACGCTGGAACGTGAGTCCCACGGGGCCAGTTAGAGATGCGAGATTGAGTCTACACACGCGGGAATCTCCCGGGTATCTTCCCGAAGTTGTTTTCTGACTTAATTCCTTTATTTTCAGAATATGCTTTATATGCCTTGAATCTTTCGTGGCCCAGAATACGGTCTGGCTTAGTGGAAGTTCCATTTGAGCTTAAAAAAAGAGTGTGTGTGTGTTCAGACTCACGAGGCTTTGGCAAAAACCAAAAGAAAAAAGGGAAACAAAGGAAAGAAGAGCGCATGTGCTGTGTTCTGTGGGCGTTAGTCAGGCGGGTCGTTGCCGTGTTTCCGGCCCGTTTGCCGCCTGTCCTCTGTCCTGTCAGTGGCTGAGGGAGACGCAGGCCGGGCCGCGGGTCTGTCCGCCTGCCCGTGCGCGTCATTCAGTGGTGGGCGTCTGAGAGTCCACGACCTCCGTGGGCGAGACGCCGCCTCCTCTTCGCTCCTGCGACGTCCTGCTCTGGAGTCTGCATCTTTGGTGTGTGCGTGGCGTGTCTCCAGCCTTTGGCTCTGAGCCTGCGCACGCGTGAAGGTCTCTCTTCAACCCGCCTAACAGACGCTGCCCTTGACCTTCCATGTCCGGCCACGGGCATCGAATGCCACTTTCGAGGGGAGGGGCAGTTGCTGTTTGCTGGTTCTCGTTTCTCCCGCCCGTTCCTTATTCCTTTCTCTGTCTTTTTTCTTTTTGGGGGGGGGGAGGGGATTGATTGAATATTTCTATGACTCCTTTTCATAGCCTTTCTTGGCTTAGTGGCTGTGCCTGTAGTGTTGTTTTTGTGGTGGTTTCAGGGCTTCTAGTGCGCGTCTTGAACCCAGCACGGTTCACTTTCAGGTGAAGTTGGATTCGCAAATGCAGAAGTGACTTCCTACCAGTTTCTCCTGTTTCTCCCTCCCGGCCTTTCTGCCGTTACTGCATGCAGTTTACTTCCTGTGTGGGATAAGGCACAGCCTTGCCAGTATTGCTGCTGTTTAAGTCATCACATTATCTTTTAAAGTTTCTTAAATCAGATTGGAAGATAACCTGACATGTTTGCCGTTTGCCGGGCCCTCACCCCTCCGTGTGGCCCCGTGTTTCCTCCACGTAACAGGCTCCGTCACCTCTCCCGCATGGCAGGCTTGCGGGTGGCGAATCCTGCCAGCCCATCGATGTCTGGAAAGGCCTTCACTTCACTTTCAGTTTTGAAAGAGATTGTTGAGCATGAAATTCTAGGCTGGCAGGTCTAGCACTTTGAAGAGGCTCCGCTGTGTCCTCGTTCCTGCCGTTGCCCGTGAGCCCCTCGTCCACCCTGGGCGCGTCTTCTCTGCTGCTCCGAGGCTTGCTCTCCGTCACTGGTCATGACGCGCTGGGCGGCGTTCTCCTCCTGTCTTTGGAGCTTGAGTCTGCTGGGTTAATTGGGTCTGTGGGTTTACAGTTTTCATCATGCTTGGAAAATGTTTTGCCAATATTCCTTCATCTATTTTTTCTACACCTTTCTTTCTCCTCTTCAGGGAATCTGGCCGCACATGTAGTTGGCCGCATGGCACCGATGCTTTCTAATTAGTGGCTGTGTGTGTGCATGTGCACGTGTGTGCATGTGTCTTTCCGTTTAGATAGTTTGTATCGCCATGTCTCCAAATTCACTAATATTTTCTTTTTTCATGTCCTGTCTGCTGATAATCCTATCCAGTGCATTTTTTCATAGTAAAATGTTTAAGTTCCTTTCCCATTTGTGTGTACTCTATAGCTTTTTTTTTTTAATAATTACCATGTCGGGATTACATTTAACATCCTAAAGTTTTAACACCCTAATTTGGATTTATATCTCCTTAACTTCAATAACATATTAATGCAAACTCTGCTGCCTTACGTCTCTGTCCCTGCTCCTTTCGGCTGTGGTGTCACAAAATTGCGTCTCTATACTTTGTGTGTCCCGAAACATAAACTAACAATTGAAAACAAAGTGTGGAGTCGCACACTGTCGTCACCACTGTGCCGGCCTTTGCCTTGCCATGTGTCTGCCTCTGCCGAGACCGTTTCTCCCCGCGCTTCACGTCCCTGCCTGGTGTCTCTTCATGCGATCACATCGCGTCTGGCGTGGGCCTCCTTGGCACCATATTCCTCAGAGCTCCTCGAGCTTTGGGGTGTTTGTGTCTTTCATAAAATTTGAGTTTTCAGTCATTATTTCCGCAAACAGTTTCTCTGCCCCTTTCTCTCCTCCTCCTCCTGGGACTCCTGTGTGGGACACATCAGTCCACGGGTCCCTCGGGCTCTCCACTCGGCTTTCGTCCTGTTTCTCAGACTCAGTCATTCCCACTGTCCTACTGTCCAGTTCACTGATTTCGTCCCCTGCCTGCTCAAATCTGCCTTTGCACCTTTCTAGTGATTTCTTCATTTCAGTTATTGTATTTTTCAGCTTCAGAATTTCTTTTTGGTTTCTTATCTCTTCAAGACAGTTGTTGTGGAGTCTTTGTCTGGTAGATCTGTCACCTGGTCTTTTACAGGGACAGGTTTTTTCCTTCTTGTGAATAAGCTGTACTTTCCTGTTTCTTTGTGTGCCTTGTGATTTTTAATTAAAAGTGGGACATTTCAATCTAACGGTGTGTAACTCTGAGATTCAGATTGTCTTCCCTCCCCCGGGGTTTGTTGTGTTGCTGTGGTTGTTGTCAGGTTGTGATTGTTACAGGCTGTGTCCGTGCCGAGGGTCAGCCTGGGCTGTCGACTCAAGGTCTTCTTGGGTCTCTTCTGAGCCTGCACAGTCACTCCCTAATTTCTCTGTACATGGAGCTGCTTTTGAATGTCCTTGTTCTCAAACATTTTTTTTCTCAAAAGGGGAAAGAGCAAAATTGAAGGGGGAAGGGGGAAGAGCTCACAGTGGTTGGGAGGTAAAACACAGCGGCCTCTTTGCGCCTCTGAGCAGAAGTGGCGCCGTGATCGGAGCACAGACCTGCAGCTGGAGGACGGGTCTTTGGTGGCTCCAGCTCAGCTCTCACCGGCCACTCTAGGAACACGTGCGTGGCTTCCTGCCTCGGGCCGAGGGGGGTGGGCAGCTGCTGCTGAGGTAGGAGCGGAAACTGACAGAAATTGAGCACAACTCAGAGTCTGAGGCACCAAGTTGTGAGCCTTCGCTGGCTGTGAGCCTTTGGTGGACTCCAGAGTTCCAAAGTGGCTGCGCCGGATGGATCCTGTTGCTGGGAGGGGACACGCCGGGCTCCTGGTGCTCCTGCCTGGCTGGAGTCCGGAGCCTCTCTGTCCCCCACACCCTGCACCCCACACGCTGAGCTCGTCACCTCTGGAAGTTTGATCAGGGTCTTTTTGTATATCTTCCACGTTTCTACTTGACTTTTTTTTAACGTAAGGAACACAGTTAAAACTATCTTGTCCTTGCCTGCTGGTTCCAGCCTCTGTCACCTGTGTGGGTGTCCCATCCTGCATGCAGGGACACAGGCGAGGCCCCAGTTGCCTTGGTGGGAGGGGGGTGGTCTGGGGGGTGCGTGTTCTTGAGGGGAGCTCCCACCTCGGCCGTGCAGGAAGGAGCCCCGCCCCATCCTGCTCGAGGCTCTGCCAGCCAGTGGCCGTCGCCGCCTTGGGCCTCAGACCCCCAGGGCCGGTTATACAGGGACCCCTGTCACTGCTGTGTTCCTGGGACTCGTGGGCCCCTTCTCTCCCTGGGGCCCCCGCTGGGTACGTCTGCATGGCCCCTTCGTCCCCCAGGACACGCATTGGCAGTGCCAGCACGAGGGGAGAGGAGAGGTTAGGGTCACCCGAGCCCCAGACCAAGAGCTGGGACTCCAGGGTGTGGCTGCCGCGGAGACCGTGTCTCTGACAAGCCAGGGGACGCTCGCAGCCGTCGGGCGAGGTCTCACACCTGGGCTCTGGGATGGCGCCGCGTGGGTGGGCAGGGGGGCATGCCAGCGCAGTTTTCACGAAATGAACCTGTGGTGCTTGAGCGTTTTAAGACACTCTTTCTGCCGACGGGAATTACACACGTTCCGTTTTTTGCCGACGGGAATTACACACGTTCCGTTTCTCACTGACCCAGACCGTAGTTTAGCCTCTGCCGTGGGAAGGCGGTGGCCAGACGTCTCTGCCCTTTGACCCCTTTCCCCACGGGGCCTGGGGAGGGAGTGGCGAGGGGAGAGCGTGAACCCCAAGATTTGCTGCCTCCTGAATTCTTGAATGGTTGTCATCACCCTTCATATTTTCCTCATGTTTTCCTTATCTAAAGTTGTCTCTTTGGGGAGCACAGATCTGTGAGCTGTTTCCTGAGGCCTGGAGCTGGCCCGGCTCCACCACGTCACCGTCGTCCCCTAATGAGTTGGGGCTGAGCGTCCGGCAGGGGCTGCCGTGGCACCTGCAGCTCGGGAGTTCCCAAGCTCCGCTTTATGGGGCGCAACGCCGCCCGACCCCCCACCCCCAGGCTCACAACCAAGTTTCACTCTACGTCAAGGTGGTTTTTCCAGCCTTAGTGCAAACAAAAAACTGTCGCTGGGTTTCTAGGAACAGGGAGGGCGCAAGACCCACCCAGAACTGTGCGCCTGGCGGGTCAGCGCCCAGGGCCGGCCCGCAGGACACAGGCCGTCAGCTCACAGAAGGGGCCGGAACGTCCGTGCTCCTCTGGGAGCCGGCGCCCCTCCCTGAGAAGGGGCCCACTTGGGAGGGCGCCACGCTGACACTTCCGTCAGCACCAATTCCCGTTTATGTGACGCAGCAGCGCACCAGGAGGGCAGAGGGGCCCGGTGCCCGCATGGCGGACGGGGCGCCCTTGGTCAGGGACGAGGTGGGTGTGACCTGCAGGGCCGTCCCCCGGCTCATGGCCGCTCTCCCCGCAGACGCAGCCGGTGCCCAACCCGATGTCCTACTACCTGCACCGGTCGCCCTGGTGGTTCCACCGCTTCGAGACGCTCAGCAACCACTTCCTGGAGCTGGTGGTGCCCTTCTTCCTCTTCCTGGGCCGCCGCATGTGCATCCTGCACGGGCTGCTGCAGATCCTGTTCCAGGTGAGCTGGGCCACGCGCCGCGTGGGGACCCTGGGGTGTCACAGGCCCCTCCCGGGGCCGCCTCCCCGCTGTGTACGCTCGCTTGTGTCCGGGCCTCCTGGGAGTGGCCTCACCAGCCCCGCCCCCGCCGCAGCCACCCGGCTGGAGGCGCAGCCTCTCCTCCCCGAGCGCGCGGCTGGCAGCAGCACCAGGCGGCCAGGTCTCGGGCTCAGCGGGCGGGAAGGGCCGGACACACCCGGCACGGACACTCCCCACGCTGGGGACCCCGCCCTGAAGGTTCCCAAGTCCCAGAGGTTTCCTGTCACACGCCCGAGGCGCAGGACGGGCTGCTCCCCCTGCTCCAGAGGCTGGCCAGGGCGTGGGGGCGCCCCACTCTGCGCACGTCACTCCCAGGAGTGACCAGTCTCGGGCTCTCTGCTGCGTCTCCCCGTAAACGTGATCGCCCACTCGTCAATTTCCAAGACAGACGTGGTTGGTATTTTACAGTTTTTGCATCTTGCGTATCGTTTGTTTCTACGGAGGCAAAACTTCCATCCGGGGTGCGCAGATCTCGGGTGTGCTGACAGACAGACACACCTGGGCGCCCGCACCCTCTCGCAGGTGGAGAGGCCCCACACGCTCTCCTGTCGGTTTCCCACCTCCCCCAAGGCCGCGTGCTGGGCTGGCGTGGTGGTGCGGCGTGGCACATGCTCTGTGACCTCCTGGGTGGAGGTTTGACCGCGTGGTCGGTGCTGTGTTGGGTGCACCCTGCTGTCCGCGACCACTGTGAGGTCTTGCCTTGGTTTACCGTCTGTCCATAGACTGTGGGGTGGTTTCCAGTCTTTGCCGTGAGCCTGCTGTGGGCGTCCTCGCCTTGGGCCCCCATGGGCGTGTTTCAAGGCCACTGCTGCGCCCTGGGTGGGTGCACCGGTGACAGGATCGTCGACCGACGTCTGTGGTTCTCACGAGGACCTGTGCGCGTCCTCTGGCCTCTGGACAGTTCGAGTCGCTGGTGCGGCTAGGAAGGGCTCAGCCCCGTCACAGAACTGGGCGTGTGCCCTCTGATCTCTGAGACACAGACCTCGCTCGTTGGGAGAGCTGCAGCTCTTCTCTGGGCCCTGGAAGAGGGGGTGGCCAGTGCGCCTGCCACGCACCTGGGTCCTCTCGGGCACATGGCACATGGGGCAGGGGACAGAGTGACCGTGAGCCCTGCCAGGGCCACACTCTCCTCTCCGAGCTGACCTGGGCCCTGGGGCGGCTCCAAGTGCAGCCGCTTCCTTGGCGCCGTCCGGGTTCCTGCGTTCCTTCCTCCGGGAGGGGGGTGCACACGCCTCCTCCCACGCTCGTTTGCACAGCTGCTGCGGAGGGTTCCGCAGGGCCCCGACCCCGCCTGCTCGGAGAGGAGCACGTGAGAGGTGACCAGCGGCCAGACCACCCTGCCGGCACCTGCTCTGCGGGCCTGGGGAGGACCGCGACGTCCTCCGCCAGGCGCTGGGCGGGGCTTGTGCGGGGAACTCGCGGCAGAACACACGAACGGGACGTCTCCACGTGGAGCGCAGCTGCGGCGTCAACAGTGCGCGGTGTGCGGCCCCCACCGCTCGCCCCCGCCTTTGGGCAGTGACCTTCCGCCCCTGGACCTGCCAGACCTTTGACGCGCAGAGTCACAGGGGCGCGTGCGTCCGCGAGCTCGCCGCGCCCTCTGCGCCGCGTGGACGTGCGGGCCGCTGCGCCCGACGCGCAGCAGTGGCGCGTCTGTGGAGACTCCCGCTCCGCATCTGCCCACTTTGCTTTTCTAATAGCAGCGACGCTGATCAAGTCCTGGGTCCGTGAGCATGTCCTCTGGTCACAGAGAGCCCGCGGGCAACGTCCAGATTTCCAGCCTCTCCCTCGCCGGCTGCTCGCCGGAACATCTGCGCGTCTCCTGGGCGCCGTCCGCCCCCGCAGCCGTCTTCCTGTGCCGCCCCCGGGCGCCCCGCGGCCTCGCCCCGCCCCGGGCTCCGCAGGCCGGTCATCTGTAGCCGCGCAGTGAGCACAGCTGGGTGGTGTGACGAGATTCGTCCCCTCCGAGGGCCGGGCTCAGTAACCCCGAAGGCAAACAGGAAGGATGAGGTCCCCTCGGAGCGCGGGGCCGCGCACTGCGGAGTCCTGTTCTCTTATTAGGAAAACAGCGACGACCGGCCGAGCTCTGTGAGGCTCTGCGCCCCAGCCACACCTGCTCTCAGGGCGGGATGCCCCAGAGGGCATCCCCGAAACCGCACTCAAGGGGGACCCAGCTCTGCTCAGAGCTGCTCTGAGGCTCCACTTGGGGCCGACAGAGGGTGTGGCGTGCGCAGCGCCGGTGAGCGTCTGCTGGGAGACAGGTTTGCCACCAAACACACATGGCTCTGGTCTGAGGGAGAGACACACGTGAGCCTGGTGTGTGACAGGAGAGGTAGAAGCTGGCGTGTCTCGCCCGGGAGACCTGGCGCCTTCTCTCCCACAGAGTTGCTGTCATGTCGCTGCACCCTGAGGTCTGGGTGCCCGAACGCCTGTCCTCCTGCCTCCCCACACAGCCCCGAGTCTCCCGGGATGGGTCCTGCCAGCTCCAAGGGGACAAATGTGGCCGTGGGGGCTCCAGGGCGCCACGGACAGTGGGCTGCTGACCAGGACCTGAGTCCGCCATGAGCTTCCGAGTTCTCGCCACGCCCTGAATCTGCTCAGGTGCTGGGGTAGAGGAAACCACCAGGCTCAGCCCTCCCGCTCCGCAGACCCCTTCCCGCTGGTCTTCAGGGTCCCCAGCCCCAGCTGCCTTGTCGGCAAGGCCGGGCCTGCCCAAGGTCCGGCCTCAGCACCGTCCTGCGCCAGGGCTTGGGCAGCTGCAGCCTCAGCACAGTGTCCGTCCCAGCCCCCGCCACGAGTGAGCGACTGTCGGCAAGCTCAGGGTGAAGGACCCTCGGGCTGGGACCCTCGACTGGGGACGCGGCTGACTGGCTCTGGTGGAGGGGCGTGGTGACATTGCAGATGGCGGAGGGTAAGAAATAATTACTTTTGGGCTCGGTACCAGGAAAACAAGTTTTCTAAGTTAATCCAGGGGGAGCCATGAATCCACACTTCATAAACCCGTCGCAATCCATGAAACCAACACGGCCGACCCCCGGTTCCTCCTGCAGACCCTCATTAGACGTCGGCATCTGCTACCTCAAACTCCTCCCCAGGTCTAGGGAGTGAGACTGGGCGTCAGTGGAAATACAGAAACCGGTGTGTGTGTGTGTGGGGGGGGTCAGCGTCACCTGTTAGGGCCATGCCCCGCCCCACCCCGAGTGGGAGGAGCTCAGGCCATGGGCACTCTGCTTGGCTGCGCGACTCTCTGGGCCAATGGGATGTGACAGCCACGCTGGGAGGACACCCCTCATACAGCTGGCTGGGGCCACCAGCAGCGACAGACCCCGACAGGGACAGGTGCCCCTAGGTCTAGACGGAGCTCGCTTCAGCTCCTCCGCGGCCCCCCACGTGCAGCCGAGCGTGGAGACCAACGCGGGTCCGACCCAGCACGGCCTGTGAAACATCTGTGCCTTGGCGTGAGCAAAGATCCCTTAGATGGGCCACAGAAAGCACGAAGTCTAAAATTTAAAACCTGATCAACAGGATTTCGTGACAATTTAAAACTTCACCTCTTGCAAAGACGCTGTAAAGAAAACAAAAAGGCAAAGCCGCAGCGGCAGCGAGTACCGCAGAGCATGTGCGGGAATGGAGATGGACTCCACTTGGCCCAGGTACGGCGTGGGCAGGACTTGCACCCATGCCACGCAGGACACACGGCTGCCCCGTAGGCTTCAGGAGACCCCGGTGTCCCCAGCTAGGCCAGAGTGCTGGCGCCCGGACCCTGCTGCGGCGGGATGTGGAAGGCGCCACCATGGGGAACAGGGCTGGTTTCTCCAGTCCCACACCTGCCCTGCGACCCAGTCCGACCCAGCGTGTGCTGCACACGCTCCCGGACCCTGACGGCAACAGGACGCGTCTGCCCGCGCCCCGACATTCCTGGGGAGCTGCCGTGGGGGAGGCACCCCTCCCGCTGCAGCTGACCTACGAAGAGACCATGAGACGTGGATCGGGGCTGTGGGGAGACAGTGTCACCACATGCAGGCTCTAGGGCACTTGCTGGGGATGGAATGTTCGGGATTTTAGCGACTTACACCAGCACAGACATTCTTCGAAACTGTTGGACTGTACGCTTAAAATGAGTCTGTTTTGTTTGGTTATTTTTTAAAATCTGCTTTATTGACACTTAGGAGCCGGGTGGAGACGCGGAAAGTCTGTCTCTGCCAGCTCTGTATCTCCTGCCAGGACATGGGGACCTGGTCGCCGCCCTGCCCCGTGTCCCCATGACCCTGTGGCCAGCTGCAGCCCAGCTGAGGTCCCAGGGGCTTCCCAGCCGGTGCTGAGGCCTTTGTGTTTCCCTCAGTTGTCCCTCTGCCAGGTGGGTGGGGCTCTGTGGGGCCACGCCCCTGCCCAGGCCCCACCCCCAGCTCCGCCCCATCCCAGGTGGTGCTCATCGTGAGTGGGAACCTGAGCTTCCTGAACTGGCTGACCATCGTGCCCAGCCTCGCCTGCTTTGACGACGCCACCCTGGGGCCGCTGTTCCCCTCTGGGCTGCGCAGCCTCAAGTGCCGGGTCCTGGCGGTGCAGCAGGAGGACGCCCGTGGGGCCGGGCCCCGGCCCAGACTTGGTAGGTGGTGGCCCGGGTCCCCAGGGCGGGGTGGGGCAGGTGGGCCCCGTCACGGGAGGGCGGGGACGTGCATCTCTCTGGGAACAGGCAGGCGACCTCAGGGCCTGCTGACCCTTGGTGGGAACTGCCAGGACTCAGCCCCCAGCTGCCTGGAATGGGGGCCTGGGGATGGGGGCTGGGGGGACCCTTTCCTGGGCCTGGATGGCCCAACAGCAGCCGGGTCTCCCGGGCACACGTGGATCTCACGACCCTTCTCGGCCCAGGCTGTCTGGTGCGGCGGGCGGCCAACCTCTCGCTGGGCGTCCTGGTGGCCTGGCTCAGCGTCCCCGTGGTCCTCAACTTGCTGAACAGCAAGCAGATCATGAACACCTCCTTCGGCCCGCTAAGGATCGTCAACTCCTACGGGGCCTTCGGGAGGTACGGGGCTGGGGCTGGGGCGGCTCGGTCTGACCAGTCACACCCGAGTGCTCATCCAGGGGGTGCTGGGTGATGCAGGAATGTCACCGACCCTTAGCGCCAGGGACCTGGGGTGAGGGGCAGGGGGTCAGATAAGGCGGCCATGGCTGGGCAGGGCTGCATCCACAGGGGTCCTGAGGTGGAGCTGGAGGGGTCAGCAGCAGGGCCCAGGTCACGGGCAGGTGTGGCTGTGCCCCCTGCCTCCATTCCCCCTGGAAGAGCAGGGAGCTCCTGGCTACTCCTGGTGGTCCTACCTGCACACAGGTGGCATCTCGGGGGCCGGCCCCTCGGTCGCTCCCAGAGCAGGGCTGTCAGTGGCGCTGGTTTCCCAGCTCCTGGTCTCTACACAGCCTCTGCCTCCCTGGTCTCCTCCCAGGCTGCTGGAGGCAGGGCCAGGGGTGGGTCTCCAGGCAGCAGGGAGGTGAAGTTGAAACAGCCCCTGGGGGTCCAGGTGGCCCCGAGCCAGGAATCTTGTTTTCTTGCTCAGAGACGGCTGGGGGTGCCAGGCTATCTCTGGAGGCCGCGTGGGCTGGGCCAGCCCATGGAGTGGGCAGCAAAGGAGCCCCCGTCACACTGCCCTGAGGAGCCCAGCAGGGAGCCTGCACCCCAGGGAGAAGCAGCAGCACACCCCCAGGCCCAACTCGGTCTCCCCACAGCATCACCAAGGAGCGGACAGAGGTGATCCTGCAGGGTACAGCCAGCCCCAACGCTAGCGCCCCCGACGCCGTGTGGGAGGACTACGAATTCAAGTGCAAGCCGGGGGACCCCCGGAGACGGCCCTGCCTCATCTCCCCGTACCACTACCGCCTGGACTGGCTCATGTGGTTCGCGGCCTTCGGGGTAAGGGCCCCCCGCCTCCCTACGGGGCCCTGGGTGCTGGCAGCAGCTCCAGGCTCTGGTCACTCTGGCACTGCAAGGAAGGCGCAGGCCCCTGGGCACCACGGAGGGTCGAACCCGCCCAGGACAATGACAGGGCCCACGAGACACCCAGCTGGGGGCTGTCAGCTGAGAGCCAGGCCCACAGGAGGGCGGGGTGGAACTTGCCGTCACGTCTTGCCGCCAGCAGAGGGACCTCACCACACCTCAGCCCTGAGGAACCAGGCGGGCCTGCCTCGAGGTCCGGGCAGGGACCCATGGACGTGGGGCCCACAAGGAGAACGTGCGGCAGGTGGCCCCCACGGGAGCCCCTCCAGGAAAGCCAGGGCACACCCCCACTAAAGTCAGGGCTGCCAGAGGCCCAGGAGGACACAGCCCAAGGGTCGGGGCTGGCCCGGGGCGCACACTGTCTCCACGCCCGTCCTCTCCCCCCAGACCTACGAGCACAACGAGTGGGTCATCCACCTGGCCGGCAAGCTCCTCGCCAACGAGCCCGAGGCCCTGTCCCTGCTGGCGCTCAACCCCTTCTCCGGCAGAGACCCTCCCAGGTAGGATGGCCTCCGAGTGGGACCTCTGCCCCACCCTGCCCGTGTGACCTCCCTCCAAACCTGCCACGGCTGAGCGCCCAGCCAGCCAGGCGGAGGTGGCAGTCTCAGGGCTTGCCGCGTGCGCCAATGTTGAGGTGTCCTCTAGGCGCTCACTCTGCACCTGGCCTAGAGGGGCAAGGGCCGGAGGTGGCGGCAGACCCCTTGGGGAGGTCAAGGCCAGAGCCTTGCGGGGTCCAGGTGATGGTTGGGTGACCCAGGTGATGGCTGGGTGCACGAGAGCAGAGCTGCCACTCCAGCTTTCCAGACGCCCTGGGGAGGGGAGGGCAGTGGGTGGCTGGAGACCCCTGGGCAGCCTCCTTCACAGACCTGGGCTGGGGTGGGCATGCTGGACGTTCGTGTCCCGACGTGCTTAGAACCCAGCAGCCGCCTGGAGGGTTGGGAACAGAGGGGACCATGAGCCAGCTCGCCCCCACCCCGTCAGCTGTTGACAGAACACGCACTCGTGGGTCTCCCTCGCCAGGAGCCAGGACAGCTGCACCCTGCAGTCGCTCACAGCTGTCTGGGGGGCAGGATGGGGAGGGCCCCGGAGGAGCAGCTGCACCCAGGTCTGGCCACTGGGGAGTGTGGAGAAGGGGGGAAAGAGGGGTCGCTCCACATGGGCCTCAGGCCGTCCAGGGACTGACGCCGCCCCTCCCTCCTGGTGTCCCTCCGGGCAGAGCCGCCCTTCTGTGCATTCGCATGAAGCCCCAGGTGACCTGCCTGCCATGTGGCCACCAGCAAACCGACAGAGGATGGCTGAGCCTGGACTGTGCAGTCACCTGAGGCAGACATTCGTCCCCAGGTGTGCTGGTGACCAGCCAGCACAGCCGGCGGAGCAGGCAACACCAGCTAGCCTCCCTCCCCCCCGCAGACTTCCCGCTGGTCTGCTGGGCAGCCCGGCTGCCTGTCGGCCAAAGGCGGGCCTGCCGCCAAGGTCCGGCCTCAGCGCGTCTTCGCCAGGGCTCGGGCAGCTGCGCCCTCAGCACAGGGTCCTCCTGCCGCGCCACGAGTGAGGACTGTCGGCAAGCTCAAGGTGTGAAGGACCTCGGCTGGACCCGACTGGGGCACGCGGCTTGACTGGCTCCTGGTGCAGGGTGTGACCATTGGCAGATGGCGGAGGGTAAGATAATTATTTGGGCTCGGTACCAGGAAACAGTTTCCAGATAATCCACGGGACCGTGAACCACACTTCCGTAAACCCGTCGCAACATGGAACCAACACGGCCGATCCCCGTCTCTCCTCAGACCTCATTTAGACGTCGGCATCCTGCACCTCAAACTCCGTCCCAGTTAGAGTGAGACAGGGCGTCAGTGAAATACAGAAATGGCGTGTGTGATGGTGGTCAGCCGTCACCTGTTAGGGCCATGGCCTGCCCCGAGTGGGAGCTCAGGCCATGGCACTCTGCTTGGCTGCGCGACTCTCTGGCAAGGATGTGACAGCCACGCTGGGAGAACCCCCACACCAGCTCCGGCGGCCACCAGCCAGTGACAACCCGACAGGACAGGTCCCTAGGTATAACGAGCTTGCGCTTCAGCTCCTCCGCGGCCCCACGGTGCAGCGATGCGTGGAGACAGCCGGGTGACCCAGCACAGGCCAAACCGCCTTGAAACACTTGCCTGCGGACAAAGATGCCTTAGATGCCCACAGAAAGCACTGAAGTCAAAAATAAACCGATCAACAGGATTTCGGTGACAATTAAAACTGTCACCCTTTGCAAAACCTGTAAAGAAAAAAAAAGCAAGAGCCAGCTCAGCGGTACGCAGACATGTGCGGAACGGAGGATGGACTCACGGATCGCCCAGCTATGCGTGGCAGGATCTGCACCCCACCCGCCACGCAGGACACACGGCTGCCCCGTAGGCTTCAGAGACACACGGTGTCCCAGCTGGGCCACGAGTGCTGGCGCCGGACCTGCCCCTGTGGCGGATGTGGACGCCACCCAGGCGAAAGCGGCTGGTTTCTCCAGTCCCACACCTGCCCTGCGACCCAGTCGACCCAGCGTGTGCTGCACCGCTCCCGGACTTGACGCAACAGGACGCTCTGCCCGCCCCGACATCCTGCGGAGCTGCCGTGGGGGAGCGCCCCTCCGCTGCCGCTGACCTACGAAGAGACCATGAGACGATGGTATCGGGGCTGTGGGAGATAGCGTCACCTAACAGAGGCTCTCAGGGCACTTGCTGGGGAATGGAGTTCGGGATTTACGACTTAACACCAGCACAGACAGTCGTCGCAAACGTTGACTGTATGCTCTAAATGAGCTCCGTTTTGTTGGGTTATTTTTAAAACGTTTATGACACTTAGGAGCCGGTGAGACGACGCGGAAAGCTGTCCCGCCAGCTTGTATCTCCTTGCCAGACATGGGGACCGGGTCGCCGCCTGCCTGTCCCCATGACCCTGTGGCCAGCGTCAGGCAGCCAAGTCCCAGGGGCTTTCCCGCCCGGCGCAGTGAGGTTTGTGTTCCCCAGTGTCCCTCTGCCAGGTGGGTGGGGCTCCTGTGGCCACGCCCCCTGCCAGCCCACCCCAGCTCGCCCCCATCCAGGTGGTGCCTCATCGTGAGTGGGAACCTGAGCTTCCTGTAACTGGCTGACCATCTGTCCAGCCTCCCTGCTTGACGACGCCACTGGGCGCCGCTGTCCTCTGGGCTGCGCAGCCTCAGTGCCGGTCCTGGGCGTGCAGCAGAGGAACGCCCGGGGCTGGGCCCAGCCCAAGACCGGTAAGGGTGGCCAGGGTTCCCAGGGCGGTGGCAGGTGGCCCCGGTCACGGGCCAGGCGTGGCGACTGTGCATCTCTCTGGAACAGGCCAGACGACCTCAGGGCCTGCTGCCTTAGTGAGAACTGCCAGGACTCAGCCCCGCAGCTTGCCCTGAAGGGGCCTGGGGACGGGGCGGTGGACTTTCCGGGCCTGGAGGCCAACAGCAGCCCGGGTCCCGGGCACACGCTGCCATGCTCAACGACCCCTCCGGCTCCAGGCTGCTGTGCGGCGGCCGACCAAACCCTCGCTGGGCGTCCATGGTTGGCCCCCGGCTCAGCGGTCCCCGGTGGCCTCATAGGCTCAGCGGGCGGGAAGGGCCGGACACACCCGGCACGGACACTCCCCACGCTGGGGACCCCGCCCTGAAGGTTCCCAAGTCCCAGAGGTTTCCTGTCACACGCCCGAGGATCCCCGCGCAGGACGGGCTGCTCCCCCTGCTCCAGAGGCTGGCCAGGGCGTGGGGGCACCCCACTCTGCGCACGTCACTCCCAGGAGTGACCAGTCTCGGGCTCTCTGCTGCGTCTCCCCGTAAACGTGATCGCCCACTCGTCAATTTCCAAGACAGACGTGGTTGGTATTTTACAGTTTTTGCATCTTGCGTATCGTTTGTTTCTACGGAGGCAAAACTTCCATCCGGGGTGCGCAGATCTCGGGTGTGCTGACAGACAGACACACCTGGGCGCCCGCACCCTCTCGCAGGTGGAGAGGCCCCACACGCTCTCCTGTCGGTTTCCCACCTCCCCCAAGGCCGCGTGCTGGGCTGGCGTGGTGGTGCGGCGTGGCACATGCTCTGTGACCTCCTGGGTGGAGGTTTGACCGCGTGGTCGGTGCTGTGTTGGGTGCACCCTGCTGTCCGCATCCACTGTGAGGTCTTGCCTCGGTTTACCGTCTGTCCATAGACTGTGGGGTGGTTTCCAGTCTTTGCCGTGAGCCTGCTGCGGGCGTCCTCGCCTTGGTCCTCCATGGGCGTGTTTCAAGGCCACTGCTGCGCCCTGGGTGGGTGCACCGGTGACAGGATCGTCGACCGACGTCTGTGGTTCTCACGAGGACCTGTGCGCGTCCTCTGGCCTCTGGACAGTTCGAGTCGCTGGTGCGGCTAGGAAGGGCTCAGCCCCGTCACAGAACTGGGCGTGTGCCCTCTGATCTCTGAGACACAGACCTCGCTCGTTGGGAGAGCTGCAGCTCTTCTCTGGGCCCTGGAAGAGGGGGTGGCCAGTGCGCCTGCCACGCACCTGGGTCCTCTCGGGCACATGGGGCAGGGGACAGAGTGACCGTGAGCCCTGCCAGAGCCACACTCTCCTCTCCGAGCTGACCTGGGCCCTGGGGCGGCTCCAAGTGCAGCCGCTTCCTTGGCGCCGTCTGGGTTCCTGCGTTCCTTCCTCCGGGAGGGGGGTGCACACGCCTCCTCCCACGCTCGTTTGCACAGCTGCTGCGGAGGGTTCCGCAGGGCCCCGACCCCGCCTGCTCGGAGAGGAGCACGTGAGAGGTGATCAGCGGCCAGACCACCCTGCCGGCACCTGCTCTGCGGGCCGGGGGAGGACGGCGACGTCCTCCCCCAGGCGCTGGGCGGGGCTTGTGCGGGGAACTCGCGGCAGAACACACGAACGGGACGTCTCCACGTGGAGCGCAGCTGCGGCGTCAACAGTGCGCGATGTGCGGCCCCCACCGCTCGCCCCCGCCTTTGGGCAGTGACCTTCCGCCCCTGGACCTGCCGGACCTTTGACGCGCAGAGTCACAGGAGCGCGTGCGTCCGCCAGCTCGCCGCGCCCTCTGCGCCACGTGGACGTGCGGGCCGCTACGCCCGACGCGCAGCCGTGGCGCGTCTGTGGAGACTCCCGCTCCGCGTCTGCCCACTTTGCTTTTCTAATAGCAGCGACGCTGATCAAGTCCTGGGTCCGTGAGCATGTCCTCTGGTCACAGAGAGCCCGCGGGCAACGTCCAGATTTCCAGCCTCTCCCTCGCCGGCTGCTCGCCGGAACATCTGCGCGTCTCCTGGGCGCCGTCCGCCCCCGCAGCCGTCTTCCTGTGCCGCCCCCGGGCGCCCCGCGGCCTTGCCCCGCCCCGGGCTCCGCAGGCCGGTCATCTGTAGCCGCGCAGCGAGCACAGCTGGGTGGTGTGACGAGATTCGTCCCCTCCGAGGGCCGGGCTCAGTGACCCCGAAGGCAAACAGGAAGGATGAGGTCCCCTCGGAGCGCGGGGCCGCGCACTACGGAGTCCTGTTCTCTTATTAGGAAAACAGCGACGACCGGCCGAGCTCTGTGAGGCTCTGCGCCCCAGCCACACCTGCTCTCAGGGCGGGATGCCCCAGAGGGCATCCCCTAACCGCACTCAAGGGGGACCCAGCTCTGCTCAGAGCTGCTCTGAGGCTCCACTTGGGGCCGACAGAGGGTGTGGCGTGCGCAGCGCCGGTGAGCGTCTGCTGGGAGACAGGTTTGGCCACCAAACACACATGGCTCTGGTCTGAGGGAGAGACACACGTGAGCCTGGTGTGTGACAGGAGAGGTAGAAGCTGGCGCGTCCCGCCCGGGAGACCTGGCACCTTCTCTCCCACAGAGTTGCTGTCATGTCGCTGCACCCTGAGGTCTGGGTGCCCGAACGCCTGTCCTCCTGCCTCACCACACAGCCCCGAGTCTCCCGGGACGGGTCCCGCCAGCTCCAAGGGGACAAATGAGGCCGTGGGGGCTCCGGGTCCCAGGGCGCCACGGACAGTGGGCTGCTGACCAGGACCTGAGTCCGCCATGAGCTTCCGAGTTCTCGCCACGTCCTGAATCTGCTCAGGTGCCGGGGGAGAGGAAACCACCAGGCTCAGCCCTCCTGCTCCGCAGACCCCTTCCCGCTGGTCTTCAGGGCCCCAGCCCCGGCTGCCTTGTCGGCAAGGCCGGGCCTGCCCAAGGTCCGGCCTCAGCGCCGTCCTGCGCCAGGGCTTGGGCAGCTGCAGCCTCAGCACAGTGTCCGTCCCCGCCCCCGCCACGAGTGAGTGACTATCGGCAAGCTCAGGGTGAAGGACCCTCGGGCTGGGACCCTTGACTGGGGACGCGGCTGACTGGCTCTGGTGGAGGGGCGTGGTGACATTGCAGATGGCGGAGGGTAAGAAATAATTACTTTTGGGCTCGGTACCAGGAAAACAAGTTTTCCAAGTTAATCCAAGGGGAGCCGTGAATCCACACTTCGTAAACCCGTCGCAATCCATGAAACCAACACGGCCGACCCCCGGTTCCTCCTGCAGACCCTCATTAGACCCCGGCATCTGCTACCTCAAACTCCTCCCCAGGTCTAGGGAGTGAGACTGGGCGTCGGTGGAAATACAGAAACCGGTGTGTGTGTGTGTGGGGGGGGTCAGCGTCACCTGTTAGGGCCATGCCCCGCCCCGAGTGGGAGGAGCTCAGGCCATGGGCACTCTGCTTGGCTGCGCGACTCTCTGGGCCAATGGGATGTGACAGCCACGCTGGGAGGACACCCCTCATACAGCTGGCTGGGGCCACCAGCAGCGACAGACCCCGACAGGGACAGGTGCCCCTAGGTCTAGACGGAGCTCGCTTCAGCTCCTCCGCGGCCCCCCACGTGCAGCCGAGCGTGGAGACCAACGCGGGTCCGACCCAGCACGGCCTGTGAAACATCTGTGCCTTGGCGTGAGCAAAGATCCCTTAGATGGGCCACAGAAAGCACGAAGTCTAAAATTTAAAACCTGATCAACAGGATTTCGTGACAATTTAAAACTTCACCTCTTGCAAAGACGCTGTAAAGAAAACAAAAAGGCAAAGCCGCAGCGGCAGCGAGTACCGCAGAGCATGTGCGGGAATGGAGATGGACTCCACTTGGCCCAGGTACGGCGTGGGCAGGACTTGCACCCATGCCACGCAGGACACACGGCTGCCCCGTAGGCTTCAGGAGACCCCGGTGTCCCCAGCTAGGCCAGAGTGCTGGCGCCCGGACCCTGCTGCGGCGGGATGTGGAAGGCGCCACCATGGGGAACAGGGCTGGTTTCTCCAGTCCCACACCTGCCCTGCGACCCAGTCCGACCCAGCGTGTGCTGCACACGCTCCCGGACCCTGACGGCAACAGGACGCGTCTGCCCGCGCCCCGACATTCCTGGGGAGCTGCCGTGGGGGAGGCACCCCTCCCGCTGCAGCTGACCTACGAAGAGACCATGAGACGTGGATCGGGGCTGTGGGGAGACAGTGTCACCACATGCAGGCTCTAGGGCACTTGCTGGGGATGGAATGTTCGGGATTTTAGCGACTTACACCAGCACAGACATTCTTCGAAACTGTTGGACTGTACGCTTAAAATGAGTCTGTTTTGTTTGGTTATTTTTTAAAATCTGCTTTATTGACACTTAGGAGCCGGGTGGAGACGCAGAAAGTCTGTCTCCGCCAGCTCTGCACCTCCTGCCAGGACATGGGGACCTGGTCGCCGCCCTGCCCCGTGTCCCCATGACCCTGTGGCCAGCTGCAGCCCAGCTGAGGTCCCAGGGGCTTCCCAGCCGGTGCTGAGGCCTTTGTGTTTCCCTCAGTTGTCCCTCTGCCAGGTGGGTGGGGCTCTGTGGGGCCACGCCCCTGCCCAGGCCCCACCCCCAGCTCCGCCCCATCCCAGGTGGTGCTCATCGTGAGTGGGAACCTGAGCTTCCTGAACTGGCTGACCATCGTGCCCAGCCTCGCCTGCTTTGACGATGCCACCCTGGGGCCGCTGTTCCCCTCTGGGCTGCGCAGCCTCAAGTGCCGGGTCCTGGCGGTGCAGCAGGAGGACGCCCGTGGGGCCGGGCCCCGGCCCAGACTCGGTAGGTGGTGGCCCGGGTCCCCAGGACGGGGTGGGGCAGGTGGGCCCCGTCACGGGAGGGCGGGGACGTGCATCTCTCTGGGAACAGGCAGGCGACCTCAGGGCCTGCTGACCCTTGGTGGGAACTGCCAGGACTCAGCCCCCAGCTGCCTGGAATGGGGCCCTGGGCCTGGGGATGGGGGCTGGGGGGACCCTTTCCTGGGCCTGGATGGCCCAACAGCAGCCGGGTCTCCCGGGCACACGTGGATCTCACGACCCCTCTCGGCCCAGGCTGTCTGGTTCGGCGGGCGGCCAACCTCTCGCTGGGCGTCCTGGTGGCCTGGCTCAGCGTCCCCGTGGTCCTCAACTTGCTGAACAGCAAGCAGATCATGAACACCTCCTTCGGCCCGCTAAGGATCGTCAACTCCTACGGGGCCTTCGGGAGGTACGGGGCTGGGGCTGGGGCGGCTCGGTCTGACCAGTCACACCCGAGTGCTCATCCAGGGGGTGCTGGGTGATGCAGGAATGTCACCGACCCTTAGCGCCAGGGACCTGGGGTGAGGGGCAGGGGGTCAGATAAGGCGGCCATGGCTGGGCAGGGCTGCATCCACAGGGGTCCTGAGGTGGAGCTGGAGGGGTCAGCAGCAGGGCCCAGGTCACGGGCAGGTGTGGCTGTGCCCCCTGCCTCCATTCCCCCTGGAAGAGCAGGGAGCTCCTGGCTACTCCTGGTGGTCCTACCTGCACACAGGTGGCATCTCGGGGGCCGGCCCCTCGGTCGCTCCCAGAGCAGGGCTGTCAGTGGCGCTGGTTTCCCAGTTCCTGGTCTCTACACAGCCTCTGCCTCCCTGGTCTCCTCCCAGGCTGCTGGAGGCAGGGCCAGGGCTGGGTCTCCAGGCAGCAGGGAGGTGAAGTTGAAACAGCCCCTGGGGGTCCAGGTGGCCCCGAGCCAGGAATCTTGTTTTCTTGCTCAGAGACGGCTGGGGGTGCCAGGCTATCTCTGGAGGCCGCGTGGGCTGGGCCAGCCCATGGAGTGGGCAGCAAAGGAGCCCCCGTCACACTGCCCTGAGGAGCCCAGCAGGGAGCCTGCACCCCAGGGAGAAGCAGCAGCACACCCCCAGGCCCAACTCGGTCTCCCCACAGCATCACCAAGGAGCGGACAGAGGTGATCCTGCAGGGTACAGCCAGCCCCAACGCTAGCGCCCCCGACGCCGTGTGGGAGGACTACGAATTCAAGTGCAAGCCGGGGGACCCCCGGAGACGGCCCTGCCTCATCTCCCCGTACCACTACCGCCTGGACTGGCTCATGTGGTTCGCGGCCTTCGGGGTAAGGGCCCCCCGCCTCCCTACGGGGCCCTGGGTGCTGGCAGCAGCTCCGGGCTCTGGTCACTCTGGCACTGCAAGGAAGGCGCAGGCCCCTGGGCACCACGGAGGGTCGAACCCGCCCAGGACAATGACAGGGCCCACGAGACACCCAGCTGGGGGCCGTCAGCCGAGAGCCAGGCCCACAAGATTGCAGTGGAGGGCGGGGTGGAACTCGCCATCACGTCTTGCCGCCAGCAGAGGGACCTCACCACACCTCAGCCCTGAGGAACCAGGCGGGCCTGCCTCGAGGTCCGGGCAGGGACCCATGGACGTGCGGCCCCCACGGGAGCCCCTCCAGGAAAGCCAGGGCACACCCCCACTAAAGTCAGGGCTGCCAGAGGCCCAGGAGGACACAGCCCAAGGGTCGGGGCTGGCCCGGGGCACACACTGTCTCCACGCCCGTCCTCTCCCCCCAGACCTACGAGCACAACGAGTGGGTCATCCACCTGGCCGGCAAGCTCCTCGCCAACGACCCCGAGGCCCTGTCCCTGCTGGCGCTCAACCCCTTCTCCGGCAGAGACCCTCCCAGGTAGGATGGCCTCCGAGTGGGACCTCTGCCCCACCCTGCCCGTGTGACCTCCCTCCAAACCTGCCACGGCTGAGCGCCCAGCCAGCCAGGCGGAGGTGGCAGTCTCAGGGCTTGCCTCGCGCACCAATGTTGAGGTGTCCTCTAGGTGCTCACTCTGCACCTGGCCTAGAGGGGCAAGGGCTGGAGGTGGCGGCAGACCCCTTGGGGAGGTCAAAGAGCAGGGGGGGCAGGGCCCTGCATCCTGGGAAGTGACTGGGTGACATCCCAGGGAGGTGGTCACATAGGGCCAGAGCCTTGCAGGGTCCAGGTGATGGCTGGGTGCGCGAGAGCAGAGCTGCCGCTCCAGCTTTCCAGACGCCCTGGGGAGGGGAGGGCAGTGGGTGGCTGGAGACCCCTGGGCAGCCTCCTTCACAGACCTGGGCTGGGGTGGGCATGCTGGACGTTCGTGTCCCCACACGCGCAGAAAACACAACACCCCCCGAGAGGGGGGAAAACAGAGGGGACCATGAGCCAGCTCGCCCCCACCCCGTCAGCTGTTGACAGAACACGCACTCGTGGGTCTCCCTCGCCAGGAGCCAGGACAGCTGCACCCTGCAGTCGCTCACAGCTGTCTGGGGGGCAGGATGGGGAGGGCCCCGGAGGAGCAGCTGCACCTAGGTCTGGCCACTGGGGAGTGTGGAGAAGGGGGGAAAGAGGGGTCGCTCCACATGGGCCTCAGGCCGTCCAGGGACTGACGCCGCCCCTCCCTCCTGGTGTCCCTCCGGGCAGAGCCGCCCTTCTGTGCATTCACATGAAGCCCCAGGTGACCTGCCTGCCACGTGGCCACCAGCAAACCGACAGAGGATGGCTGAGCCTGGACTGTGCAGTCACCTGAGGCAGACATTCGTCCCCAGGTGTGCTGGTGACCAGCCAGCACATGCTTCCAGGCTCGGCGGAGGGTTTGTTGTCCTCAGGCCCAGAGTGGAGTGCACAGATCGGACCTCTGAGCAGGTGCAGGGGCCACAGTCTTGTCTAAAAGGGATGGATGTTACAAAAGTTGAGACGGTTAATCTTTTCTGTGAACTGGTAACGAATTATATTTAGGGGAAATATTTAAAACATCTGAAATATTGAAGAGCACCCGTCCCTCTGCCACATCTTCATGACACATGTTTTGTTTGGTAGCTGGAGCGTGCAGCATCATGGTGGGGTATGGCCTGGCCGTGGGCTGATCTTCACTTTTTACGGTGGACGAATTAAGATGTCCATATCTGGGAAGGTGGAACAGACACCCGGTTCCTCGTGCTAAGTGCAACTGAAGACCCCGGTGTCACATATAAAACCAGTGGAGGAAGGCTCACCAGTAGGAGACTCTAAACCCAAGCGGCAGCACCGATGGAAGTGAGTTTCTTCGTTCTCTTTCTGCTTCGTTTCCTAGACTTGGAGACGAGGAGGTTGACGACTTGGTAATGCCAGCACATGTGGACCAAACACTCCCCAACAAAAGCCTGCTCGCTCTGGCCAAAGGACTGGAAAGGAGCAGCCTAGCAAGACAGGAAACCCACGGAGAATAATCATGCTGCTCTAGCCAAACACCACGGGGAACGGTGGCCGCCATGCCAGGAAGACCAAGTCGGGGGCCCGCACTCCTGCTCTGAACAGGCTGTCAGGCGGTACCCACCCCTCACCAGGTGCCGTTGGAGGAGCCCGAAGAGAAAGCTGAGATTTTCACCCTAGTGGGCAATACCGAGCCCCCACTTTGTGATGTCTGCAGAGACCATGTGTGGCCAGATTTCGGCCCACACCTGGCAGTACTGTCTCCCCAGGAGTGGTGAGGCCACCCGAGTGCAGAGCCAAAACCCTCACCTGGCAGCACGGGGGAGCCCCTCTTTCCTCTGCCAGCACAGGATGTATGGGAAGAAGCCACCTACAACAAGGTTAAATAAGATCCAGACTCTCCTAACACAATATCCAAAATACTCAGTTTTCCGCTGAAAAAAATCACTTGTCACACCAAGAACATAGCAAACTGAATAATAAAAACAATAGATGACAACACCAAGATGACAGGGACATTAGGGATATTTCACAAAGGTTTTAAAACAGCCATTGTAAAGGTGCTTCAATAAGCAATTATGAACACGATACAAATTTTACAAATACAGTCTCAGCAAAGATATGGAAGATTTTAAGAAGAACCAAATGAAAAGTTTAGAACTGAAAGATACAATAACTGAACTAAAACACTCACTGGATGGCTCAATATCAGAATGGAGGGGACAGAAAAATAGAAATTACCCAGTGTGACCGATAATGAGAAAATAAACTGAAAAGAAATGAACAGGGCCTCAGAGACTATAGTAAAAGGTCTAGAAGGAAAAGAGAAAGACCCTGGGGCTAAAAAAGTACTAGAAGAAATTTTGGTAAAAGACACGAACCTAACGAGTCAATGAACTGAGTGAACCCCACACAGGAAAAACCCAAAGAAATTCAGACCTAAACACATTGAAGTCAAATTTCTAAAAATAAAGACAATGAAATAGCGAGAAACACCACCCCACCCATAAAGGGAAACAGCTGGAATGACGGCAGATTTCTCAGCAGAAGCCATGGAGGCCAAGGGTACGTGGTACAGCGTTGTCCAAACGTCAACCCAGAATCCTGTACCAGCAAAAATATCCTCAGAAATGAAGGGAAATCAAGGTAGTCTCAGATGAAGGAAAAGTAGGAGAATTTGTCGCCAGGATAATTAAAACAATTAAAATATGGGTAAAAACAATAGACCTTCCTTCCTTCTAGTTACTATTTCTTCTAGCACTTTTTTAGCCCCAAGATCTTTTTCGTTTCCTTCTGGGATTCCCTCTTGTGAGTTCTCAATCATGTTTGCATGTTAAGCAAAGGTTATAAAACTGTCTGAAGTGGTCCAAAATTTATGTAGAAGAAATATTTAAGATAATTATAAATGGGTGAGGGCAAATCGACATAAAGACAAATTTTGTGTACTTGAACTGGTGAAATGACACCACCAGATTATAAATTATGTGTATATGATGTAGTATGAAGAGCAACAATTAAAAAAAAATCTATACAAATAGATACACTTAAAAACTATTAATAAATCAAAATGGGATTCTAAAAAACTTTTTAATAACCCACAATGAGATAGGGGAAAAACACCAATGAAAAGAACAGATAAAAAACAAAAGTAAAACGATAGACTTAAACCATAACATATCAATAATTATATTAATTGTAAGTGGTCTAAATATACCAATTAAAAGAGATTGGCAGAATTGATTAAAGGCCACGACCTAACTATATGCTGTCTAAAAGAAACTCACTTAAAATATGGCAATACAGTTGAGCATCTGCTCAACTCACGATGGGTTATGGCCCAATAAATCCATCATGAGTTGAAAATAACATAAGTCAGAAATGCATTTAATACACCTAATCTACTGAACAGCATAGCTTAGTCTAGCTCACCTTGAACACTCACATTAGCCTACAGTGGGCAAAATCAGCTAACACAAAGCCTCTTTTATAATACGTTCGTGTCCCCTGACGTGCTTAGAACCCAGCAGCCGCCTGGAGGGTTGGGAACAGAGGGGACCATGAGCCAGCTTGCCCCCACCCCGTCAGCTGTTGACAGAACACGCACTCGTGGGTCTCCCTCGCCGGGAGCCAGGACAGCTGCACCCTGCAGTCGCTCACAGCTGTCTGGGGGGCAGGATGGGGAGGGCCCCGGAGGAGCAGCTGCACCCAGGTCTGGCCACTGGGGAGTGTGGAGAAGGGGGGAAAGAGGGGTCGCTCCACATGGGCCTCAGGCCGTCCAGGGACTGACGCCGCCCCTCCCTCCTGGTGTCCCTCCGGGCAGAGCCGCCCTTCTGTGCATTCGCATGAAGCCCCAGGTGACCTGCCTGCCATGTGGCCACCAGCAAACCGACAGAGGATGGCTGAGCCTGGACTGTGCAGTCACCTGAGGCAGACATTCGTCCCCAGGTGTGCTGGTGACCAGCCAGCACATGCTTCCAGGTTCGGCGGAGGGTTTGTTGTCCTCAGGCCCAGAGTGGAGCGCACAGATCAGACCTCTGAGCAGGTGCAGGGGCCACGGTCTTGTCTAAAAGGGATGGATGTTACAAAAGTTGAGACGGTTAATCTTTTCTGTGAACTGGTAACGAATTATATTTAGGGGAAATATTTAAAACATCTGAAATATTGAAGAGCACCTGTTCCTCTGCCACATCTTCATGACGCATGTTTTGTTTGGTAGCTGGAGCGTACGGGCATCATGGTGGGGTGTGGCCTGGCCGTGGGCCGATCTTCACTTTTTACGGTGGACGAATTAAGATGTCCATATCTGGGAAGGTGGAACAGACACCCGGTTCCTCGTGCTAAGTGCAACTGAAGACCTCGGTGTCACATGTAAAACCAGTGGAGGAAGGCTCACCAGTAGGAGACTCCAAACCCACGCGGCAGCACCGATGGAAGTGAGTTTCTTGGTTCTCTTTCTGCTTCGTTTCCTAGACTTGGAGATGAGGAGGTTGACGACTTGGTAATGCCAGCACATGTGGACCAAACACTCCCCAGCGAAAGCCTGCTCACTCTGGCCAAAGGACTGGAAAGGAGCAGCCTAGCAAGACAGGAAACCCACAGAGAATAATCATGCTGCTCTAGCCAAACACCACGGGGAACGGTGGCCGCCATGCCAGGAAGACCAAGTCGGGGCCCGCACTCCTGCTGTGAACAGGCTGTCAGGCGGTACCCACCCCTCACCAGGTGCCGTTGGAGGAGGCCGAAGAGAAAGCTGAGATTTTCACCCTAGTGGGCAATACCGAGCCCCCACTTTGGGATGTCTGCAGAGACCATGTGTGGCCAGATTTCGGCCCACACCTGGCAGTACTGTCTCCCCAGGAGTGGTGAGGCCACCCGAGTACAGAGCCAGAACCCTCACCTGGCAGCATGGAGACGCCCCTCTTTCCTCTGCCAGCACAGTATGTATGGGAAGAAGCCACCTACAA